TCCCACACAGCGGGGAAGACCTCTCCTGTCTCGCCTGCTGCTCCCCTCAGCAGTGTACTTTGGTCCTTCTGCCTGTTCGGCTCCCTGCTCTGTCTCTGGTGAATTCTCTCACCCTCCCACGCCTCTGGACTGTACCCCAGTTCTTGTATAAATAAATAAATCTTCAAAAAAAATGGTACACTGAGCACAGATGTTAGCTTCCACTCTCTTCCAGAAATCTCTCTTTAAAAATGCTTTTTCAGGCCTCTCTGGTGGCGCAAGGGGTTAAGCACCACACTATGAAGCAATCCATAGCCTCTACAGCACGAGTTGGATCCCCAGCCGGCCAGGGAACAACAGCAGACCTCTCCTGATTTGCCCACTGCTCCCCTCAGCAGTGTACTTCAGTCGATCTGCCTGTTCTGTTCCCCACTCTGTCTCTGGTGAATCCTCTCACCTGCCCCGCCCCCTGCCCCAGCTCTGGCCTGTACCCCAGCTCTTGTATGCATAAATATATCTTAAAATAAATAAATAAATAAAAATAAAAGAATTTTTTTCCCCAAAGGCATCTATCCATAAAAACAAAAAGGGAGAAAAGACAACAGCAAACAAGTGAATGAAAACTGACTTAAGTCAGAAAAAGCTGAATCATAAGCTTACCATAGGGAACAATAAGAAATAATTCCATTTTCATCATGGAACCCCCAAAGCCTTAAGAATTCATGATACCTATGTATTTTGGAAGTAAGGATATACCTGGAAGTAAGGATATACGCTGGAACCAAAATGCAGGAGTAACTAAATGATGAAAGTTTGTTTAAGAAGCAGTTAGGCAAAAACCTCGAGATCATCTAAATTGGTACATAAAAAGCACTTGTCATAACACCCTTTCATGATTAAAAAAAAAAAACAAAAAACTAGGAATACTGGGGAACTTCCTCAACCTAATAAAGGGCATTTACTAAAACCCAGTTAGTATCATTCTCAATGGCAAAAGACCGAAGCTTTCCCTAAGATTAACAACAAGATAATGATGCCTGGCTTCACTACTGCTTTTTAAGATTGTACTGGGAGTTCCAAGGGGGCATCCAAGTAGAAGTTAAATTACCTCTATTCAAAGGTAACATGATCTCATACAATAGCATCAAAAAAATAACATATTTAGGGTAATAACCACATGAAATGAGATTACTACTTCACACTAGGGTGGCCATGGGGTGGGGGGAAACAGAAAATTACAAATGTTGGAGAGGATGTAGAGAAACTGGAAGCCTCTGCACTAGGAATGTAAAATGATACAGTTATTGTGAAAACGTTTGGTGGTTCTGCTGCAAGAATATAACTTAACAACATATGACCCAGCAATTCCAGTCCTAGGTATCTACCCAAAACACTGAAAACAGGGGCTCAAACAAGAACTTGTATACAAGTATTCACAACAGCATTATTCATAAAAGGCAAAAGAGGAAACAACTCAAATATCTACTAATAGATGAATGGATAAAGCAACTGTGATGTATTCATACAATGAATATTACTCAGTCACAAAAAGGCACAGGAATTACATACTACAGGGATGAACCTGGAAAGCATAATGTTAAGTGCAAGAAGCCAGACAGAAGAGAACACATATTGCATCAATTCATCTACATGAAAAATCTAAAAAGGATAAATTCATAGAGAAAGAAAACAGATTATTGCTAGCCAAAGGCTAGGGGGAGTAGATAACGTGGAATGACTGCTAACAGTGAGACAAATGCAGGTAAGCAGAACTCCCAAGTATGTGCAATATCCCATTCTTAGGTGGATGTGTTCAATCATCCCACATTGTAGGAAAAACAGACTAAAGCAAGTAAAACAGGAGGCCACTGAAGGAGAGACTCGACTAATAAAGTAAGATTGTGCTGCTAAATTTTTGAGAAAAACAAAAAATTCTGGAAATTTTAAACTATGATGGCCAAAGTAAAATGCTAAATGGTCGGGGGAGGCTGAGGAAATCTCCTAGAAAGTAGAACTAAAAGTAAGAAAATAGGGCCTCCCCGGTGGCGCAGCGGTTGAGCGCTGGGTTGCGAGGCTGCCCGCGGCCTCTGCGGCAACGGTTCGATCCCCGGCTGCTCCCCAGCCACCGGAGGAGGGTCCCACATGGCGCACAGACCTCTCCTGCCGCCCGCTGCTCCCCTCAGCAGTGTACTTCGGTCCTTCTGCCTGTTCTGCTCCCCGCTCTGGCTCTGGTGGATTCTCTCACCCTCCCGCGCTTCTGACTGTGCCCAGTGCATGTATAAACAAAACAAACAAATATAATAAATAAATGAATAAAAACATGCCTCTATAAAAAAGAAAGAAAAAAAAACTATAAAAAAAAAGAAAAAAAAAAAGTAAGAAAATAGGAGATTTTTAAAAAGGAGAAAGCCAGTCCAAGAAGTCCAATGCCCAAATAACAGTATTTCCAAAACACAACGAAAGGAGAAATCTGAGACAGTTAAAAGGAGGAAATTGCCCAAGAAAATAATTTGAGAAAATTCTCCAGAACTAACCATCCTGAGTTTGCAGACTTCAAGGAACTCTGAAGTAGCGGATGAAATGGATGAAAACAGACCCAAACGCACGCTGTTTCTAAACACTGACAAGGTAAATGTAAAGAGACTGCGTACAAAGGATTCCATAAAAGGATTCAAAAATTCAACAGCAACCCAGGAAGCCCAGACCACCAGAGCAATGCCTGCAAAGTTGGAACTAGTTTCACCCTGGAGATACCAACAAGTAACAAAGCGATAGGGAAGACGAAGGAATCTGGTTCTTTCTCTGAACGTGCCCAAGGAACGGCAGTGGCACCAAGAGGCCACACCTGCTGCGTCGTGCGAGGCTGTACAGGTGTGACAGCCCTGACACGGGAAGGGGGGTTTGGGGGAGGTGGAGGTCGAGGCCCACCTCGGCCCACCTGCAGGAACCTTGCTGGGGCCTCTGAGCCCCTCGCTGAGTTGTCCTGGGGCGAGCACAGCGCCCCAAACGCCCGCCAGCACCTCGAATGCTAAGGAAACCGCTGGGGATCCCCAGTGGTGAGGTGGTGGGGCGGGGTTCTGGTGTCGTAGAGGGGGCGCAGGCTGGTGTTAAGGGTGTCCTGATGTTCAGAAGACGCGGGGCCAGGCTTCCCGGCCCTGGTGAGGAGGAGAGGGCGCGCGGGAGCCGGGTGGAGGGTCCTGGGGCTGTGGAGAGGGAGGGGGTGGGGCTGGGGATCCCGGTGCTAGGGGCGCGGGTCGGGGCTGGGGAGCTGGCGTGGAGAAGCCGGTCGGGTTCAGCAGTCCTGGGGCTCTGCAGGGCGCAAAGGCCGAGGGTGAGCGTCCCGGCGCCTGCGAGGGGGCGCGGGCGGGGTGGGGTTCCTGCCGCCAGGGAGGGAACGCGGGCCGGGCTGGGAGTCCCAGAGCTGAGGAGGGGGCGCGGGCCGGGGGCAGCGACCGTTGGCGGCCCGGGCGGGGCCCGCGGTTGGGCTCGTCCCCGCCACCCCCGGCCCGCGCCCCCAGCCTCCGGGAGACACCAGTCCCAGGCCACACCCTCTGGACCCATCCCTGGCCCCCCCAGAATCCCGACCGCAGCCCCCAGCCCCGCCCGGAGCTCACCTGCCGAGCGCCGCCGCCGCCTGAGGCCTCGTCCGCGCCGCCCTGGCCCACCCCAGGACCGTGCCAACGCCAGCCAATCACGTGCCGCGTTCGGGGTAGGGTCGCGAGCAACGCGGATATCCACCAATCCGGAGAGGACCGCCCGAAACTACTCGACCAATGAGAAAGCGGTCTTCCTGGCATTCTAGCCAATCGCGGGCCGAGGCCGAGACCGAGACCCCCAAGCCGGGGAGGGGGTGGGTGGGGCTCCCGAGCGGCGCGCGCGTCCAGATGGGGGAGGGGCAGGAACGGCTTGGGGGAGGCGGAGACCTCCGCGGGGAGCATGAGCACCCGAATCTCTAGGAGGACCCCAGTTTCCAGGGGGCCTCCCATTTCGGGAGGGTCCCCTGCTTGGGGGGGGCTCCTGCCCCCGAAGGTCACCGTCATCTCCGTGACGGCCCTGGTGTCAGGTCGGCTCCCGCCGGTCCAGGGCGCCCCAGATCCCCGGCGCTGGTCGTCTCCCCGCCTGCGCGCCTTTCCGACCCGTGTCGCTTCCCTGGGGCAGGCTGTGGTGGTCCCTCGGGCCGCGGCTGCCAGACCACCTCTCACGGCCGGACGCTTAGTTATTGCCTCGTGGGTCTCAAAAGCGTCCCCACTTAGGCCGGCCTCTCCTTTGCCCACCTAACCCCCCTCCCTGACCCCGAGTATCTCCTCCCCAATATCTTTACGGATTACTAAACTGTCAGACTTTGCCCGCGGCTGCGGGTAGCGCTTCTCGTTAGTGAGGGCAGGCCAGTCCAGCCAGGCTGCACCCCGGAGGCCTGGTGCTTGCAGAACCCGGCCCCAGGATCCTTCTGCGGGCAGTTTCCCAAGCCTTTCCCCCACCGCCCCATACATAACCCAGCAGCCGTGGACGTGCCTTCTGTTGCTCCAGTTCTGGCTGAATTAGACCCACACCTCCCCGGATCGTCCCTGAGAAGCAGCAGGACACCATATGTGGGTTTTGCGTGTAGAGCCCCGCCCTTTGTTATCTCTCTTGAGCGAGGAAACTATCCTGAGAGCGATAGCGTAAGGAAGAGGAGGCAAGGCTGTCATGGGTGAGAGAGCTGATGAGATCAGGGAAGATTCCCCATGCAGCCATTTCTTAAAATCGAATCCAGGGCTCTTCCAGCCTGCCACACAGCCTCCTGAGGGAGAAAACTTCATCAGGACAAAGAAAAAAAATCCGGTGCACCGGCCATTTTAATGAGAATGTATTTATAGAAATGGCAATGTGTACACTCAGTTCTAGCCGAGACTCTTCGGAGTTTATAGCTATCCTATTTGTTTCTCAAGCATAGGGGTTGTGGGGTTTTGTTTATTTGTTTGTTTTGTTGGCTTATAGAAAGTCTCATCTTCGATGTACATTTTATTAATTTTTTTCCTAAGAGAAATGGGTAGATGTTCCACAGAAGAAGTGACAGAAAGGGAGGAGAAAGAGTTGTCATCTTTCTCAGTGCGGCAGGAAGAGGGAGGAAGATAAAGGTCCCCATTGGTCCAAAAGTGTCTCCTCTAAGGTAAGTGTTACCTCCTACCACAAATAGCCATGTCTAACTATTAAGTGCTAGAGATACTAAGTATGAAATAAAATGTAAAATATCTCACTAATAGTCTTAAATATTGCTTGTGTGTTACATGATGTTTTTGATATATTGTTTAAATAAAATATCAAATTAATTTCATCTTTTTTTTTATGCCTTATTAATGTGGCCAATTTCATAGGTGGCTAGCATATTTCTAACACACACAGGTGTAGATGTTACTGGATACTTCTAGGGAAGGATTCCACACTGAAGACAGATCACAGAACTCTTCTCCCTTCCAATAATTACTAAATGACCAAGAATCATTTTAAAAAAGTTTACCAACACCACCAAAGAACAAGGATACAAACCAAGATCAAAGGACCCCGCTGGGACTTAGTGGGGCCCGCCAGCAGGTGCCAGACAACAAAAGGGAGTCCGCAGAAGAGTCTTTAAGAATAGAAACCCCAACTCTGCGTCTTGGGACAGCGGTGTTTTCTGGGACTGTGGTGTTTTCGAGGCAAGGTCAACGCCATGCCCACACCCAACAGCACCAGCCCTCTCACTGTTTACCCCTCTTAAAACCATTTATAACTCCGCCTGCTCCTATACCTAGCTAGGATTTCTAGAGAAGCTGCTGCCTGGCAGCGTCATGAACAAGCAGAACCATTTTGGTCATCAGGCAGGTGGAAGGGTTAAAAATGTTCCAGGCAAAAACAACAAAAGGAAAGAGGGAGTAAGAAGTGGGGCCTCCCTGGTGGTGCAAGTGGTTATGTCACAGCACTATGAAGCTATCTGCAGCCACTGCAGCACAAGTTCGATCCCTGGCCAGGGAGGTGACCCAAATGGCACAACAGACCTCTCATGTCTCGCCCGCTGCTCCCCTCAGCAGTGTATTTCAGTAGATCTGCCTGTTCTGCTCCCCACTCTGTCTCTGGTGAATCCTCTCACCCCCCAAACCTCTGGCCTGCACCCTAGGTCTTGTATGCATAAATAAAATCTTTTTTAAATTTTTTTTTAAAAAGAGGGAGTAAGAAGCAATTGAGAGCAGTGTAGGTTATTGTTCCCCCTACAACAGCCCCCAATACACTGATGATGGAGAAGATAACCACAACTGTCCTGGCTTTTGTTTCTTCCACCTGGGGCGGGGGATGGTAAACAGATGGGAAAGAAGCTGAGATGTCCCCACAGGTGTTGACTCTGGTGATCACCTGTACTAGGGGACAGCGTCTACCTAGAGTTCCCTCATGAGACTTATACCCATCCTTACTGGCTTCTGTCAGTTTTGTGTTGGCTTCACCAGTGTTCAACTGGTTTGTACTGATATTAGCTGGACTGAACTGGTTTGTACCAGTGAATTGCTTTCAATGAATTCTACATGAGGCCATTGGTACACTGCGAGTACAGAGACAAATACACCGGAGAGTGCCTTGTCCAGCTCCTCAGAGAGAAAATATTGCGTCACCATTGGAGCAATGGTACCTTCTCCATGTGCCTGCCCCTGCTAGCCCCATTGCCTCTTTCCTCTTCCTCTCCTGCTGGCCTACTCTTTCTGTTCTGAGGCCCCACCTACCCCATTCACCTGCCCCTCTGCTCCCTTTATTTCAGAGACCGCCTGTTCTTACCTGGGTAAGAGCTCCTTGGGTATTTAATCCCTCCCTTCTTATTGGGGTTGTGTTGATTTTTTATCTTATTGGGGGTGTCTGCTGTGTGCCAGGTGCTGTATTAAGTCCTGGGGTCCACCTCTGCAAATCAAGCTCCCTGCCCCCCACAGCCTGTATCTGAGAGAGGTCCACAAGGAGGGAGCCAACAGATAACACAGGAAAGAACATTCCAGGTGTAGGGGCCACAAATGCCTACATCCTAAGGCAGGAGTTAAGGACAACTAGGCTTTCATGCACTATTCAAGAAAGCAGAGTGTTTGTGGATTCTGGTTTCTAGATGGAAAAAAAAAAAAAAAGAATTCTCAGGTGACAGCTATCAGTGTGAGACTATCAGAATAAAGGAAGCTGGCCCAGAACTTGATGTCTCATAGTTAAGTTATGGAAGAAGAGACACCACAGAACAAAACTAGCTCTCTTTGAGGGAAAAAACAAAACAAAAAAAAGCAACTTACAGTGTCATGACAATACAGAGACCTGCACTCAGGAAATGGCAAGTTGTTAACTGGAAAATATATGTGCAATGTGAGTCCATGTGTATACACACACACCACTCATAGACATCCACATTAACATAACACATAGCACATGCAAACACACACATGCATGTTCACATAGGATTATACATAGAACATGTGCACATGCATATACACACGTTCACACACAAGGCATAGAAAGTGTTGCTAGTGACTATATCCAAGTAGGGGCATCATAATTGTTTTTCCTTTTTTTATTTGACTTTACTTGCATTTTGTACAATGAAAATATTTTTAGAAATTTTAAAGGTTTAGAAATGTTAAACTGTGGGAAATACAGTAATAGGCATTTTATTTTGCTACCCCAAACTAATAACTACCAATATTTTGTCATATTTTCATGTTGTAGTTGAAGAAATAAAACTAAATCAAAAGGAACACTACAATGTCCAAAGAAGATCATGAAGGAGACTCTTTTCCAGTAGTGGGGAAGGATTTTTTAAACAAAAGCATAAACCTTGAGGCAAAACACTTGTCAATCTGGTTACATCATTGTGAAAGGTATCTGCTCAACAAAAGATAACCTTGAACAAGCCAATAGACAGATCAGTAGATCAGAAGATATTTACCGTGTTGAAAACGGATGAGGGGCTACTGTATAGAATATAGGAGAAGCTCTGGCAAATCAACAACCAAAAGACAGGATTGCAATAGTAAAAGGGGCAAAGAATATAAAGAGGCAATCCACACAAAAAGAAAGGCAAATGCAAAACAACAACAGAAAGAGATATTTAGACCTATTTGTAACCAGAGAGTGCAAATTAAAACATTTCACTGCTTCCCTAGAAAGGGTTAAGAGGAATGAGCAGGAACTGGGGAGCAAACTGCTCTGGTCTTCAGCTAAGATAACCATGGGGAGAGCCAGCTGCTTTCCCTGTAAAACAGGATTAGTATGCCTGCCTAGCGGGATGCTGGTGAAAACAGGAGATACCTGTTTGCAGCATAACGCTGGAAGCACTGGGTAAAAAATACCCCAGCAATTGTTATATAGCGACCAGAGCATGAAATCCTGCCTTCAGCAATGCCATGGCACTTAGGATGAGGGTGGAGGACAGCCAAGGGCCAGCTCTAGAAGCAGAGACCATAGTCTGCAGTCAAAGTGGGCAGGAATCTGGGGACCGGAGGGTCTCAGGACTTCATTGGCTGGATGATGGTAGGTGGCCCACTTGCTCTGCTGGCCCTGAGCTTCCACCTTGTGCTCCTGTGTGTGATACCCATACGTTTTCTGTGTGAAGATAAAGCTTTTGGGAGTGTGGCTCACTGGGGTCCACCTGGAGTGGGAGGTCAATCTCCCTCTGTTGAGGTCCTGTCAAACCATCTGTGCAGCTCCTGGAATGGAGCAGATTATTTCTCTGGCCTTACTTGCCTCCTAGTTGGAGGGTTGCTCCCCCTCTTCCCCCCCCCCCCCCCGCCTTCTAGTGCCCCCTGGAAAGTATCCCAATGGCAGCCTCTTCCCACTGTGATCTCATTTGCTGAGCCAGCAAAAAGACCTGTGGAAGGAGTAACATTGCCTCTGAGTCCCAGTGCACATGCTGGGGACCATACCATGTGTTGCAAATATTGCTTTGCAATATTTTATACACATAATTTACATATAATATAATTAACATACAGTGATATTCATCCTTTTAAAAGTGTTTGGTTCAGCGTGTTTTTGACAAATACATACAGTTGCATAACTATTAACCACAATGAAAAGACAGAATATTCCCAGCACCCCGAAAGTTCCCTCCTGCCTCTTTTCAATAGTGTCCTTTCTCTACCCCTATCAACTGTTCCCTGTTCCCATAGTTCACTTTTCCCTGAAGGTCATGTAAATGGGGTGATACTCTATGAGGTTTCTGAGATGCTTGTGCACTCAGCGGCCTGCTTGAAGTTCATCCATGCTGTTGCCCATTGTTTCTTTTCATAACTGAGTCTGGTTCCATCTAAGGATGTCCCAGACACTATTTATCCATTTGGAGATCAGCCAACTTTCTCTGTAAATGGTCGAGAAAGCGGATATTTTAGGCTTTGCACAATATGTAGTTACAGCATAACTATAGCCACAGACACTAGATAAGAGATTGTACATGGCTGTTTCTCAACAAAACCTTATTTACACAAATTGGCTGCGGGCTGGACAGACCTATGGGCAGAGTTTGCTGAACCCTGGCCCAGTCACTGGACATTTAGGTAATTTCTAGTTTGGGGCTGTAAAATTCATATACAGGTATTTCTGTAGACATTTTTTTTAAGTATAGTTCCGTGGCTTAATTAGCTCATCCTCACTTCTTTCAACAATAGTGTAGATACATGAATTTTTATTTTTTTAGAGTATTTGCCGTTAAAACTTTGAATAATAGCTATTGTTTAAACCATGCATTCTTTTTTTTTAAGATTTATTTATTTATGCATACATGAGCTGGGGTGCTGGCCAGAGATGCGGGGGTGGTGAGAGGATTCACCAGAGACAGAGTGGGGAACAGAACAGGTGGGTTGACTGAGATACACTGCTGAGGAGAGTAGCGGGCAAGACAGGAGAGGTCTGCTGAGCCATGTAGGTCACCTCCCTGGCCAGGGATCAAACTCGTGCTGCAGTGGTTGTGGATAGCTCCGTAGTGCTGCATCTTAACCCCTTGTGCCACCAGGGAGGCCCCCCATCTGTTCTATTTTAAGGAGAGGTATTGACAGATGTTTTTCCTGCTCTGAGACAAGACCTCGCTCCTTGTTTTCTCACTTGAGAAGATAGCATTCAAGCACCATGTCTTGCCCCACAAAGTGCTGGCCACTGTCACCAACTGTGAGGCCTACATCTTAGCAGCATGTTAAGGGAGGGACGGAGGAGAGGCAGGCAGGAGGCCTGGGGAGCCTGTGCCTAGGGCCTCCACTAGAGCACAGCCTTGGCCTGTGTTCTGCTGCCTGGAGTGCCAAAGTATCTGTTTCTGGACTCCCGGTCTTCCCAGTATCAAGGTTGAGGATCAGTATGTTGCTGTTTCACATCTAGGGACACTGAGGCAGAAGCCCACCAGCAGCCTGACTGGATGAGACTGGATAAGACATGGGGATGAGACTCCACGGCCCAGCACAGTGTGCTGTGGCCTGCTCTCTGTCTGAAGGCCAGGGGATGCAGACCAAGGGCAGCACTGCCTTCCGCGCCCAAGCTCTGGGAGCTATTTTTTTTCTCGTGAGCTCACACCTCAAATTTGGCAGCAGGTTCTGTCCTTCAGCTGTAAACAGAACATGACTCCCAAGAGAGGGGTAAGAAAGACTTGCTCTGAAACCCGAACTGGGAGGCTTTGAGCATCTGGATTAGGATGCCAGCACAAGATTAAAAGGCAGGGCCAAAGTGAATTGGTGAAGGAAAACTACCTACTCAGAGGCTTAAGAACCCCTTCCCTTAAGGAAACAATTTGACTTCTGCACATGCTGAGTCTCCTCCTGCTGCCTCTGCTTCCTCCTTTATGGGGCGCACATCACGGGAAGAAGCATCTCCAGAGGAAATGTGGGTTTTTAACGTCTATGTTTATATCCTGTGGTCAGTGAGGGAGGATTCCAGGTCCTGATGTGGTTTTATGGCACGTGATTATAAGGAGTCCTAAAAGGAATATGACAGAGATGGGACAGTCCCAGCCAACTGGTCAGATTTTCCAAGTTCCAGCATCCAAAGATGTACCCGCCCCGTCACTCCAGTCAAGAGCCATGAGGAGCTGTGTGAGGAGTGGCTCTTACCAGATCTTATCAGATGGCTGACTTTACATGGTGGGACCCAGAAAGGCTTTTTTTGGTTTTGTTTTGTTTTTTAAGATTTTTATTTATTTATACAAGCACTGGGTGGGTACAGTCAGAAGCGCGGGAGGGTGAGAGAATTCACCAGAGCCAGAGTGGGGAGCAGAACAGGCAGACTGACGCAATACACTGCTGAGGGGAGCAGCAGGCGGCAGGATCCACGCCTGCACGCCATGTGGGATCCGCGCCTGGGGATCGAACCGGCTCTGCCGAGGCTGCGAGCAGCTTCGCAACCCAGCACTCAACGGCTGCGCCACAGGGGACGCCCCCAGAAAGGCTTTCATGGAGGGTCTGTCTGGTCTTTTTCAGCTTCTGGTGGCTCCTGGTAGTATCCTTTATCTCTGCATCTTTGTCTGGTGTCTCCTGTATCTCGGTGTGTCTCCCTTTCTTTCTCCTCCTTGACAAGGTCATTTGTCATAGGATTTAGAGCCACCCTAATCCAGGATGATCTCATCTCAGGATCTTTACCTTAATTAGATCTACAAAAACCCTAATTCCAAGTAAGTGAAATTTTTCTTGAGATCATGGTAGACTGACAATCATTTGTAAGAAATAATGCACCGTTTCCCAAAAGGCAGTATTTTGCAAAACCATAACATGCTGATGATATGCTAGGGCAACCAGGATATTGGCATTGATACTATGTTCAGGTTCCCCTGTGTCCCACCTACTCCTTTGCATGTGTGCATGAGCATTTGGTGTCATGGATCATGTCACATGAGGTGATACATCCACTGTGAGGATGACTTACATCCCACCCCCATAGGGTCTCTCCTGCTGCCATTTATCATCACATTCCCTTCCTCCCGCAGCACCCCACCCCTCTCCACCTCTTGTCCTAACCCCTGGAAACCACTAACTTGCCTGTTTTTCTTTTTTTTTAAAAAAAGATTTATTTTTATTTATGCATACAAGAACTGGGGTGCAAGCCAGAGGTGCGGGGTGGGGGTGAGAGGATTCACCAGGGACAGAGTAGGGAGCACAATAGATAGATCTACCAAAATACACTGCTGAGAGGAGCAGCAGGTGACACAGGAGAGGTCTGCCTCACCATGTGGGTCAGCTCCCTGGCCAGGATCGAACTAATGCTTCAGTGGCTGCCAATAACTTAATAGCTCTGACTTTAACACCTGCCCTACCAGGGAGGCCCCTGCTAACTTGCCTGTTTTTCTAAAATTTTCTCATTTCAAAAATTATATAAATGGAATCATAAAATATGTAATCTTTTGAAACTGACTTTTTAATCTCATTCCTGGAGACTCATGCAATTTGTTGTATATACACATATTTTGATTTTTTTTAAAATCTTAGACTCCAAAAGAGCAATACAAATATAATAGGACTAATTACATGAATCGTGACATCTTTCTTTCTTCCCATGATACAGTAGGATATTTCCACTCTATTTCCTTTTCTAACACGTCTCTGAACTTTTGGACAGTCTTCTTTTATTTATGCAGTGGGAAACCAAAATGTAGTCAACCATGCAATTCATGGCTATGCATAGTTCTGTTCTTTCATGCACTAACACATGGATTCCTGGTGGCTGTCCAAGGTGATGACATCTTACTAGTGACACTGGGCTTCCAGACTTGTGGCAGTTCCTTTCCAGCTCTTGAACACTATGCACCCACCTTGTATCTTTAGGCATATTTTGGTAGATCAGTTGCTTATTAGTCATGTCCTTTGCATATATAAATTTATCATACAGGCTTTCCATGTCAGAAATGTATACTCCAGGGCCTCTCTGGTGGCACAAGGGGTTAAGTCTCAGCACTATGAAGCTATCCTGCAGCTGCTGAAGCATGAGATTGATCCCGGGATCCCCAGCCAGGGAAGTGACCCACATGGTACAGCAGACCTCTCCTGGCTTGCCTGCTGCTCCCCTCAGCACTGTATTTCAGTAGATCTGTCTGTTCTGTTCCCCACTCTGTCTCTGGCGAATTCTCTCACCCCTGCACTTCTGGCCTGTACCCCAGTTCCTATACGCATAAATAAATAAATCTTAAAAAAAAAAAAGAGAAAGAAACAGCATCTTCAGTGGTAATATCTGAGAGTACAACACTGCACGTAAGGGCACAGCTATCAAAATTTCCTGATTGTTCATCCATAGGGCACTTTAGTTCCAATCTGGGAAAGGATGATGTGACTGTGCATGTTTATTAGCACAGGGTGCCTGGGTTCGCTCAGCAGCCACTCTTCTTTGGGAGACAAAAAAGTTATGGTGACTTGTTTAGAAGTTTCCTATCACCCTGGGATTTCAGTCTAGTTTCCACACCTTCTTGCACTCCCTTCTCCACCACACCCAACCCCCAATTCTCTTCTGCACTTTGTGCTGACACTGTTTGGGTTTTCACCTCTCCCATCCAGGTGTTTGTCCTTCCATGGGTCATTAAGCCCACACAGTCCTTTATTTTTCTTCTCCACTGTGTGTGGGTCATGCTGGAATTAGTAGTGTCCGCGTTCTTTGTTTCATGATCTGAACTTGTAGAAAACCTGCCAGATTGCTCAGGCAGGAGTGAAGGATTAACCCATGTCATAGCAGTACCAAGCATAGTGACTCTGTAAAATCAGGATCACAGCTGCCACGTGCTTAAGTTGAACCCACAATTCACATCTCAGCTATATAATAGTGATGATCTGTTTCTATGAACCACAAGTCATGATTGATAGCACCAACAATAGGGGCTAAGCAGTGTCAGTAACTATGGAAAGCAGATAATCTGGACACTAAAAATGATTTTCCACACCTATTTTGGGGGCCACCATAAAGTTTTGTAACTTCTCCCCAACTTTCCACACCTGGCATGAAAAACCCAGGACTATTTGCAGGCCCTGGTTGGATTTCCTGGATGACAGGGCTTCTAGATCCAGAACCAAGACAGTCCTGAGTAAAATCAGGGTGGTTGACAGTCCTACTAGTCCGCATGGAGATGTGCTGTGTGTGTAAAATACACTTTGGATTTTGAAGACTTAGTATGAAGAATCAGAATATCTCATATTTTACATTGATTGGCTAGTGGAAGAATTTTTTAATATAGTGAGTGAAATAAAATACATTATCCAAATTAATGTCACCAGTTTTATTTTTTTTAATGTAAACATTAGTAACACTTAGATTGCACATGTGTTGGCTTTATATTTCTGTTGGACAGCCAGGTACTACATTCTAAGGTCTGAAAGGCAGGGGCAGGTCTGTTTGGCCATCGAGGGTAACAAGCACGTCTCGCACAAGCCTGGCCTACACCAGCTGCTCAATGTATTCTGTTGCATGAATGGACTCTAGTGTCTATTACCAACCCAATCAAAAGTTTCACATCAGCTTTTGTCCCAACAAGTGCCAGGCTTTCGTTTCTTGTCCAATCCTCGACAAAAGGGCCCCCAGCACAGCTGTTCCACTGTGATCACTTATACACTCCATGCAGAGAAATCTGCCAGGAGTTACTTAAGATAGTTGATTTCAGTTTTTTTAGGAGCTTTTCATTAGCCTTTCATGTCACTTATAGAGTTTATTATAGGACAAGAAATGTGATATACAGAGAAAACCTACATGTTAACCCTCTGCAAGGCTTGGAGCTGGAAAGATGAGCCACTGAGGGATCAGTTATAATCTCTGGCTGTGAGCATGGCAGTGTTATGTTCTCCTACTCAAGGGGTAGGTGTACCTTGGCGATTGATGAACTACCTTAGCTGTGTATCCCTGGCATGAAGTCTTGATGGGCTGTTCTGGAATGACCTCAGTAAACAACTGGTCCAGTATATATCAGTAAAACATCCAGTGCTGACTCTTGTGAAAATAACTTTGTTATCTTCAGCAGACAATCTCCAGAATCTAAGCAATTCCTATAATTAACTACCTTATCCATAGTAGTTCAATGGTCTAATTATCTGGCAGTAACTTTGCAGCTAATTCATCTCAGAAGGTGCCCAGGACAGCTGTTAGCCTGAAGTTGGGCAATTTAAACTGTTTACTGTTTGTTTTTGATCTCAAAACTAATAGAACAATAACAGCCAACATTTACTGAGTTCTGCCTGATGTAAACCTGGCACTCTGACTGGCTCTTGGCAAGTACAATCTATTTAGCTCTCATCGCAGCTATGCAACAAAGGAAAACACCCAAACTAGTTTAATCTGCTCATAAGTAGCAGATCTAACACCTGAAAATCCAGATCCACACCACCTAAGTTTTAAGATAACATTTAAAAGCATTTTTAAAATCCAAGACAAAAAACATAAACACTTTAATCCCATCACCCATCCTATACAGAGGTAACCTCTGCAAACATCTTAATGTCTATTCTGTCACTTTTCTATGTGCATGAACACACATTTTTGTAGAAGTGGACACTGTATATGCTATTTTATGAGCTGTTTTTTCTGCCCAACAGCACACATGGACATTCTTCCAAGCCCAGAGATGGAATCAAGATCTCAGTGAAGAGGTGGAATTGAGCACAGGCAATTGCTTCCTTTCTCACCTAAGGCCTCATTGAGATGATCAGTGGAGAAGAACAAAAAAAGAAAGCAGGTGGGGAGTGGGAGGAGAGGCATCGGATGAGAAATTTCAGAAAATGGGGGAGGTGGAAAGCAGCAGGAGTGGGCGGAAACCATTCCCAGAATAGGCCTGTGGAGAGCTGAGGAAGGCAGGGGTTCATCTTTCCTGTGGTCCTAGAGGCTCTGAGGCCTGCCTCGGGGTAGGGCTGGCACCAAGGGGATTAACTGAAGCTCCAGGCTGGAACAACTGCTCCCTCCTACAGCCAGGCCACAGGGCAACTGGCAGCTGGCTTGGTTCCCTAGTTTAAAAAGTCAGATATCTCTTCTCCAAAGAAATGCAGCAAACAGCTTGGGAGGGATTTTAGAGTGGGTTTGAGCTTCCCGAGTAATTCCTTCTTCAGTCTGGCATCTGGTAAATTTCTCCTATGGCTCTTCTCTTTTCATACCTCACAAAACAAAGCTGGACACCTGGTAAACCCCACCCTTGGACACATCTCCCACCAACCTTTCTATGTAGGAGAGAGACCCATCAAGGAAATTGAGTTACCTGGAAAGATCAAGTAAGTTCTCTCTTCTTAAATGCGAGATACCAGGCAATCCAGCAGAAGAAAGAGGAGGGAGACTAAGAGGTGGAATGATTATTCCCAGAGGGAAGAGGGTGATTACAAAACAATGGAGGATTTTTAAAATGTCCTAATTGGAATCCTCCTAATTGGAGGAAATATGACATTATAAAATAAGAATAGATGCTGTAAAGAAGGAATAACCATATTATAAAAAGGATTTTGAAAAACAAAAGTTGAATGGACATGGGCATAAAGAAGTTGAATTTCATTGAAGTTTTAAAAAGTTATTTTCTTCAGATGACACCATTGAGAGAATGAAAAGACAATGAATAGACAAGCCAGAAACTGGGGGAATATATTCTCAATATATATCTTCTCAAATAACTTGAAAAATGCTTACAACTCAGTAGGTGGACAGCACAGTGAACAAAGCAGTTGGATGGCTTGGGAACAAAACTCTGAACATGATCAAGAACACTGCTGATAGATTTCTAGCCCTTGGTCTACAAGTAAAGCATGAAAAAGTAAAAATCTTAATCTATTCTAACCATAAACAGCAACCTTAACTATGTAAAAGCAAACATCTAGCTGATGTGAGCTGGGAGCCAGGTGGAAGAAGGAGAGGTGGGGAAAGGATGGACTCCCGATCATCTGTGGTGAGGCAAAAAAAAAAAAAAAAAGTGGGCAGGACAAGACTCAGAGGAGTAAGTACTGCAGTTTACTTAAGGCTACACAGGTACTGAAGGAAAGCATAGAAAATAATAAAATTGTAGTAAATGGAAGTGGGAGAAGACATGGCAGGGATGGAGGGTGGATGAGAAGACCTTCTTTAATCTTACCTCATGAGGCCCTAGATATCTGACTCTTGCCACCTGTCCAAACTTGCCCCTTGCCCTCTCCCTCTGGCTCATCTGCTCATCAGTATATTCCCTGACTTGGCCTTGCTGCTGTTCCTTCAACTTGCCAAGCTTGTTCCTGCCCATTTTACTTGTCAAGCCAGTAGAGACAGGTTAGGCAGCTGAGGCTCACAAAGGGCATGCACCCCAGCCTCTCACCAGCTTGCTCCTTTCCGACACAAAGCTCAGCCCTGTAACTGAAAGTCTGTTGCTCACCTAGTCTAGGACAGAGAGGAATTCAGCCTAGTCCACCTGTATTTTGCCAATATAGCCCAGAGAGTTCCCACATATTCTGCCCAGTTTCTTCTAAGGTTAACATTTTATAGAACTGGGGCCTCCCTGGTGGCGCAAGGGGTTAAGACACAGCTTATGAAGCTGTCTGCAGCCTCTGCCACAGGAGTTTGATCCCCGGCTAGGGAGCTATCCTCATGGCACAGCAGACCTCTCCTGTCTCGCCCGCTGCTCCCCTCAGCAGTGTATTTCAGTCAGTCTGCCTGTTCTGTTTCCCACTCTGTCTCTGGTGAATCCTTTCGCCCCCCACACCTCTGGCCTGTACCCCAGCTCTTGTATGCATAAATAAATAAAATCTTAAAAAAATTTTATAGAACTATGGCACAAATATCAAAGCCCGGAAATCAATTCCACTGTAATAGCGTCTTTGTTCACTTAGGGTGTTATGACAAATTACCATACACTAGGTGGCTTAAATAACACTTAATTTTTATAGTTCTGAAGACTGGAAAGTCAGATAAAGCTACCAGCAATATGACAAGCGCAATCTTCCTGGCTCATGGAAGCTGTCTTATTGCTGTGTCCTCACATGACAAAGTGAGGACAAAAGCTCTTTGGAGTCTATTGATGAGGGTACTAATCCCATTCATGAGGGTCCCACCATCATGAACCAATTACCTCCCTAAAGCCCCACCTCAAAATCCCATCACACTGGGGACTATGTTTCAGCATATGAATTTAGCAGGGGGACACCAACATTCAGTCTAGAGCAAATGCTGTCGACTAAACTAGACTTTATTCAAATTTGTTTTTTCCTTTTCAGTTGCCATGTCTCCTAAAGCATCCTCTACTATGGAATGGTTCTCAGAATTTCCTTGTCTTTCAGGAGCTTGGCACTTTTGTAGAGTACTGTTCAGTTATCTTGTAGAATGTCCTGCTTTTGGGTCTGTGTGCTATCGTCCATAATTAGATTAAGATTATGCATTTTTGACAAGTAAAATATAGAAGTGATGTGGGGTTTTCTAAGCATAGCATAGCATTATCTTTTATACTTTGATCACTTGGTAAGGTGTGTTGGCTGAGTTTTTCTACTATAAAGTTATACTTGTAGATTATTAAATAGATTGAGGGGGATATTTGAAACTATGTAAATAAACTGTCACAAAACTTGTGCCCACTAATCTCAGCACCCATCAACAAATCTTGCTTGGAACAATGATTACTGAAATGTTTGCCTTAAGGTGATTTTCTATTTCCCTCCTCCCATCACATCTATTAATTGGAATATTTCCATAGGGAAGAGTTGCCCTTTCTCCCCCACCTACTTAGTCTTTTTTTTTTTTAATTAAAAGGATCACTGATAGATAACATTCTATTTGTTTTGAGTTACAGCATAGTGATTTGACATTTGTATTCAATGCAAAATGATCACCACAATAAGTTTATTTACCACCTATTATTAACAAATATTATTGCTTATGGACCCCATACTGTCCACTATCTCCTGCAACTTTTTTTTATAACTGGAAATTTGTGCCTCTTGATCCTCGTCACCAATTTTCATCATTTTGACTATTCCCCAGTCTCCCTCCCCTCTGGAAACCGCTGATATAGTCTCTATCCATGAGATTAATTTTATTTATTTGTTTAGTTTTTTAGGTTCCACGCATAAGTGAAATCACACATTATTTTTCTTTGTCCATCTGTTTTATTTCACTGAGCACAATACTCTCAAGATCCATCCATGTCGTCACAAATAGCAAGATTTCATTCTATTATGGCTACACAGTATTTGTGTGTGTGTGTGTGTGTGTGTGTGTTCTTTATCCTTTCATCTATCAGTGGGAACTTAGGCTGTTTCCAAATCTTGGCTATTATAAGTAATGCTGCAGTGAACGTAGGGGAGCATATATCTTTTTGAATTTATGTTTTCACTTACTCTGGATAGATACCCAGAAGTGGGTGTGCTGAATCACATGGAAGTTCTATTTTTTATTATTTTGAGGAACTTCCATGCTGTTTTCCATAGTGGCTGTACCAATTTACATTCACAACAGCAGTGCACAAGGCTTCCCTTTTGTTCACATCCTTACCACCACTTTTCTCTCTCTTCTTAAATAACAGCCATCCTCACAGGCGTGAGGCAATATCTCATGTGGTTTTGATTTGCATTTCCCTGATGATAAGTGATGTTGAGCATCTTTTCCTGTGCTTTTTGTCCATTATGTTGCCTTTGCAAAAATGCCCATTCATTCCTCTGCCCATTTTTTAGTTGGATTGCTTTCTTTGTTGTTTTTGTTATTAGCTGCATGATTTCTTTGTATATTTCAGATCTGAACCCCTTGCCAGATAGATAAGGGGAAAATATCTTTTCTCATTCAGTAAATCATCCTTTTATTTGTTATGATTTCTTTCACTGCACAGAAGCGTTTATTCGATGTAGTCTCGAGTTTACTTTGGCTTTTGGAGTAAGAGCCAAAAAACAAAGAAACAAACAGGAGGAACTTACCATCTCTGTTTTCTTTTGGTTTTATGGTTTCAGATCTTACACTCAATTCTTTAATCAATTCTGAGTTAATTTTTGTGCACTGTGAGAGACCGTGGTCCAGTTTCATTCTTTTGCATGTGGCTGTCCCGGCACCATTATCAAAATTTCCATACCACCATTCATTAAAGCGACTGTCCTTTTCCCATTGTATATTCCTGCCTCCTTTGTTGTAACTTATTTATTCTTTATATCACTGTGAACTCATGGATATTTATGTGAGCCTATAAATAATAATGCAATTGTATTAATTATTTTGTTCCTCATATTGTTCTAGCTTTAGCTATTAGAAGATCTTTCAACTTTGTTCTTGATTTCATTTCACATGTCTCCAACCTTTTTTGAGTATTTTCTTCTATTTCTAGCAATATTAGGACTCTCTAGCTCATCTTTTATTTTCCCCGCCCCAAGTCCTGGAATCAACTACTTTTCTAAGATGCTCGGTTAGATGTGTTAGTTGACTTAGAACACAATTTACACCAGCAGGAAAAAGGAGAGGAGGGTGTGGTGAAAAGGGAAGGAAGAACACTCTTTATCTCATCCCTGATCCCAGAAAGGGTTCTCCTCCTCTGTATGTTCTTCCCTGGAGGAAGGATGTTGTTAATCGTAGGTGGAGTGGGCTCTTGTGTGGATCTCACCCAGCCATGCCAGACCCCTGTTGGGGTGATCCAGTGGTGGCATTTAGGGCACTGAGACTGTACTTTTTCATTTTATTCGGGTCATTCTGACCAATATCTTCAATTTTGTTACGAATCTGATGTTTTATTCTTCAAGCAATAGCGTGCCCAGCTCAAAGCGGCTTTAGTGACAGGAGTAACTGCAAAGACTTGGGTGGACTGCAGGGACAACTTGATCAAGGTTCTGGCCGCATTTCTGAGGAAGGGAGAGTAAGACATTTTCTTCTTTCATGCCACCATGAAACGAACAACAACAGCAAACTGCGTTACACTGACTGGACGATCAGTCACTCGGACCAGAAATAGCAGCGGGGTGCAAAACAGGCGTGACGACAGAGGCTTTTCTGAACGCGCCCCACGCCCTCCCTCAGGGGGGGGGAAATCAGCCGAGGCGTGGGCACGTGACTCGTTTCGGCCAATCAGAACCTCCACCGCCGCGGGTGGCACAGAACGCAAACCCCCCCCCCCCCCCCCGGCCGCTTTTGCGCATGCCCCTCCGAGGCCGGCGCGAGAGGCTGTCTGGGTGACGGGCCAGAGCGCTGGCCGCGAGGCTGGCGACCTCTGGGCGCCATAAGCCTCCGCCGCTGCGGAGCGCGGCGGCCTTTGCGGGGCGCGGTCACTCCCTGGCCTCCCACTGCTTGGCCCGCCGGCCCGCGACTGCTGTCGGCAGAGGATGCGGGTGGTTTGGGTCCACACGGCTATGAGTTGCTCGCTACCTGTGCTCACAGGTGTGCCGGCAGCGTGACGGCCGAGAGTGTCCGTCCAGCTTCCACGCCGAGGCCAAACGTGTAGGCGAGAAAGAGCTGCATATCCCGCGTATCTGCCAGGCCTGGGACTCTCACCTTGTCTGGACAGTGGAGGAGAGGGCTGCACGTACCTACTCCAGCCGCCCAGGATCGGGTGTCAAAGCCTGTGTGCATTTAGGAAACCAAGTTGCTAAATGAAATGAGTAGGGGTGCTGGGGACATCTAGACAGAGGAGACAAGTCCGCTCTTGTTTAGTCACTGGGTTGTTAAAAAAAAAAAAAAGATAAAGGTTTTATTCCACAAGAATTTTGGACTCCAAATTAGCAATTCCTAATTTTGGTTTTGCCATTAAGTGTCATCAAGGGTTTCGGGGTGTATGTTAAATGTTCACAGTAGTTTGAAATAATTTCATTCATTAGCTGCAGGCTAAAGCTTTTGATGAAACATGTTCATTGCCAAAGCTCTTGTCTTCCCAGGAAGACCAGGAGCAAGTGAAATCTTACCAGGAAGACCATTTCCAGCAGGTAGTATATCTGCCCTAGCTTTGGTCAGCTGCAGCTATGCAAGCCTGAAGATTGAGGTGTGTACTTATATTAAAATGAAAATACCACCTGCATAGACATAACACCCAAAATAGTTGATTCTAAGGATAAAGCTCTTGAAGACTTGTCATTAGGAGGTTGAAAAATTGTGGTGTTTCTGCACCAAAACCCTGTTTCCTTACATTAGTATAAAAGATTGTTTTCTCCAACCCAAATGCCCCCAAGTAGATGACTGGATCAAGAAGATGTGGTGCATATACACAATGGAATATTACTCAGCAATGAAAAAAAGATAAACTCATGCAATTTGCAGCAACACGGATGGAGCCAGAAGGGATCATGCTCAGCGAAATAAGCCAGAAAGAAAAAGAAAAATACTGGATGGTCTCACTCATACCAGGAATTTAGAAAACCTAAATAAGATACCAGGAAAAAAGGCTAATTATAATAAAGTAAAAATCAAAATCAACAAGCAACTATAAACCAGAGACACAATGTGGGGGGCGGTGAGGAAGGAGTAGGATGAAAACAAGGAGTAGGGGGCTGGGAATTGTATGGGGACTATAACCATGACAAAAATGCATATGTTGTGCAAAAATGAAAAATGATGTACAAATACATAAAATTAAAAAAATACAAAGTAAAAAAAGATTGTTTTCTCCCCCTTTATTCCTAGAGGATGAAAGTGCTAGCAATTAGGCCAGGAAGAGAACACCTAGACTGCAAAATAGATTCTTCTGTCTGCAGTTACCATTGTTGTCCGCCAACAAGGGGCTCTGTCTTGTTGCTTCAAATTGCTTTCCAAGACATCAAGAAAACTCTGAGCAGATGCTAAGAGCAGAAGGTAAGGTGCTTTTGCCTTTGGGACAGATTCCAGACTTGTATCCCAGCTAGACCCTGAAGCCATCATTTGTTTATAGGAAGTCACAATAAAGAGGCTCAATCCCTGGAATACAAGGCCAAGGACACACCTAGGTCAAAAGAGAAACTGAGGGAGTAATTCCTAAGTGGAGACGACAGTCTCATTTGTGAGATACCAGTTGTCTACAGCACCCTGCCTATGGTCTCTTAAAATGTTTTAAAAATAAGTCTGAAATTTCCAAAGTCTGGAAAACAGAAAAAAGGAAGGCACAGCACCCTAAGTAACATCCAATAATTGCTTCACTTATGTCTCAGGCAATGCTAGGATGTAGGGATGACATTGGCTGTTTAGAGAATCCCAGGAAGTGGGAGGAAAGCAGAAAATCTATCTTTAGAGAAAATGTAATTTTGCCAGCTGGTTGTAAGACAACTGGTAGTGGAAAAGGAAGCCGTTGGTAAGGGGACACCATAGTTCCTACACCTGCCTGGTCTTAGCTTTTCCCTTGTTTTTAAAGTTTTTGTGATTGTTTTTAAAGTTTTATTACTCTAAAACTTTATTCTATTTGTGAGTACAAATAGAATATAATGAGCCTCTGAGTATCTGTTATTGATTTAATGATTAAAAGAAATCAGCTAATGCACTCTTTTACATCTGGCTGTTTAATCCAGCTTAATGTCTGTGAAAGCCATCATTTGCAGTGTGTATAAGTTGGTTGTTCCTTTTTATTGCAGTATAGTGTTCTTTTGTATGGATAGTTTGTATATCCATTCATAATTATTGATGGATATTTAGGTTTATTTCTAGTTGGGGCTGGAATAAAGCTGCTGTGAACACATGGATACAAATCTTAGCATTTTTGTCTCTCAATTTTTTTGGGAAACCGTTTGCATTGAGATCCTTCCCTGGGACAGGGTCTTGTTCACTATACAGAAGAAATGAGTGTGCTGATTTTTGAGCTAAGAACCTCCAATGTCAGTTGTTTCTGGTTTATGAATTAGTCTCAGCCAAGATGTATTTCTGAGTAGGTGGTACATGCACTAGAAAATAAATCAAATGTGCGAAAAGGTGTAGACTGACTTCCCACTGAAGTCCTTCAGTCATACAGGTCCCCTCACCAGAGGCCACCACTCTTACCAGAAGTATTTTATGCACATAAAACCAAGTAGAAAGCTCCCTCTCTTCCCCCTTTACATGTGGTGCATTCTCTATAGTGTGCTCCTTGTTTTTTACAATTATTAACACTGGTAAATTTTCCCTACTGGCACATATAGGGGTGCCTTTGGCTATTAAAAGGTGTTTTATCTTGAACCAACCAACTTACCCTAAAGGGATCTCATTTTTCTTTAGGTCACAAAGGGTATTTTAAAAGGAAATGTGACTTGTCTTTGAGCCACAGTGCACAGCAAAGAAATGAACTGAATTTATGAAAATAAAGTTTCTTTATTTGGAGTTTTAAAATTCAGGAAGTGAAACCTTGAGTTAGGCAAATATTTCTTAGATACACTAAAAGCACACCTCATAAAAAAACAAGCACCTTGGGGCCTCCCTCATGGCACAAGGGGTTAAGATGCAAGTATGAAGTTATCCACAGCCTCTGGCAACATGAGTTGGATCCCAGGCCAGGGAGCTGCCCAAATGGTGCAGCAGACCTCTCCTGATTCACCTGCTGCTCACTTCAGCAGTGTATTTCAGTTGATTTGCCTGTTCTGTTCCCTACTCTGTCTCTGGTGAGTCCTCTCACTCCCCACAACTCTGGTCTGTACCCCAGTTCTTGTGTATATAAATAAATAAATCTTAAAAAAAAAAAAAAAAAACAAGCACCAGAATGAGAGAAAATATTACCTAATATGATAACGGACTTTATCCAGAATATATGGAGAATTCTCAATATTCAATAAGAAAATTTTAAAAAGATCAAGACATTTAAAAATATTTCACAATGAAGATAATATACAGATGGCAAGTAAGCATATGAAATGATGTCTAGCATCATTAGATATCAAGGAAATGCAAATTAAAACCATATTGAGATAGCACCACATTCCTATTAGGATGGTTAAAATTAAGAAGTCCTCCTTGATGGTGCAAGGGGTTAACTCACAGGACTATGAAGCTATCTCTAGCCACTACAGCACAAGTTTGAGCCTAGGCCAGGGAGGTGACCCACACGGCACAGCAGACCTCTCCTGTATCACCTGCTGCATCCCTCAGCAGTGTATTTTGGTAGATCCGCCTGTCCTGCTCCCCACTTTGTCTCTGGTGCATCCTGTCACCTCCCCACCTCTGGCCTAAACCCCAGTTTTTGTATGCATAAATAAATAAATCTTTTAAAAAAAAAAAAGAAGGGGGCCTTCCCTGGTGGCGCAGTGGTTGAGTGCTGGGCTGTGAAGCTGCCAGCAGCCCCTGTAGCACCAGTTCGATCCCTGGCCGCCGGCGAGGATCCCACATGGTGTGCAGAACTCTCCTGTCGTGTCCACTGCTCCCCTCAGCAGTGTGTTTCGTCAGTCTGCCTGTTCTGTTCCCCGCTCTGACTCTGGTGAATTCTCTCACCCTCCCATGCTTCTGACTGTACCCAGTGCTTGTATAAATAAATAAATAAATCTTTTAAAAAAATAAAATAATAAAAAAAAAGAAGGCTGATGTATCAAATGTTGGCAAAAATGGGAGGAACTGGGAATGTCATATAGTGCTGATGGGAATATTAAGTTGTGTCATCATTTTGGAAAATAGTTTGACAGTTTCTTAGAACTTGAATATGCATTTACTGTGATTGCCATGCTACTCTTAGCTGTTTGACATAAGAAATGAAAACATATATCCAGAGGTTTATACATCAATGTTCTAAGCAGCTTTATTTGTAAAAACCTGGAAACAAGCATACATTAATATTGTGGCATAGGGATGAACTACTGATGGATACTATCACGTGGCTGACTCTCAAATTATGAGCTAAAGACCACAACAATAACATGGTATAAATCCATTTATATATAATCCTAAGGAATGAAAACTATTGTATAATGGCTAGGAGATCAGTGTTGTCTGGGACAGAGTGGAAGGGGATGAAGGTGGATGAGGGAGCAGGAGGCTGGAATAGCCCTAGGGCAGAAGAAAACTGGTGGTGATAAGAGTTCTACTATCTTGATTGTGGTAGTACTTCCATGGCTGTGTACATTTCAAAACTTAATCAGTTATCCTATTTTCAGTATGTGCAGTTAATTGTAAGTCAAGCATACCTCAATAAAAGTTAAAAATAGGGGCATCCCCTGGTGGAGCAGGCGGTTGAGCACAGTGCTGTGAAGCTGCAGCCTCTGCAGCACGAGTTCCATCCCAGCAGGCTGGCGAGATTCCCACATGGCACGGCAGACTGCTCCTGTCTCGCCCGCTGCTCCCCTCAGCAGTGTATTTCAGTCAGCCTGCCTGCTCTTTTCCCTGCTCTGTCTCTGGTGAATCCTCTCACCCTCCTGCACATGTGGCCTGTGCCCTGGTTCTTGCATGCATGACTAAATAAATCTTTAAAAAAAAAAAAAAGTTAAAAATAGCAATAAACAAACCACGGACTACAAATATATAAAATATGACCTACTAATTCTCCTCAGAGATATTCACCCAGGAGAACTGGAAACATACCCATATGTTTCACAAAACTCAAGAGTTTTATTCCTAATATCCTCAAGCTGCTTGACCTAAGTGTCCATCAACAGATGAACAAAGTCGAATATTTCAGACCCAAAAGGCTAAAATATTTACTAACCGGCTCGTTAAAGAAAGGGATTTTTTTTTGTTTTTTTGTTTTTTTTATAATAAATTTTATTTTTATATTCCCCCATACAATTGCAAACGCCCCATTCTGACCCCAATCCTTCCCCTCCCGCCCCCCACCCCCCAAAAAGTGTCTCTGGTTCATAGTTTTTTGTTGATTTTGATTTTCACTTTAAAGAAAGGGATTGTTGATCCTTGAACTATTGAATGAATAAACAACCTCAAAAGCTTTGTCAGGAGGAAAAAGCCAGATGTGTGAGACATGTCCTGGTCACATGACTCCATTTATATGAAATACCAAGGAAAGAAAATTTAGAGGCAGAAGCAGATCAATGATCGCCTGTGAGTGGAAGTAGGATTAACTGCAAATGGGTTTGAGGGAACTCTTTGGGATAAAATGTTCTAATAGTGGGTTGTGTGGATGGGTGCACAACTCTAAATTTATAAAAACTCACCCACCTAGAATTTTACCATCTGTAAATTATACCCTAATAATGCTGTAAACTTCAGGGACTGTATTTTATTCATTCTTCTCATGGCACTTGGAGGTGAGGGGCACCACAAATATTTGCTGATTGAATCTGAGTGAAGAGTTTACAAGAATTAAAAAAAAAATAAGTGAAGGGACATATTGCTTCTGTTTAGGTTGCTAACCCTTTGTAGGGTGAAGTTTTTTTTTTCTCTGATGTGCTTGTAACATTGTGCCAGGTAGTGCTGATTCACTGTATACTGTACAAAGGTACAGAAACTGAAATGGACTGCTCAGGTTGCCTCCCACAGGGCCATGCTCTCAGTGTGGCAGCCCACATGGCAGCAGGGGGACAGCCACAGATACTGGCACCCCAACCCTCCTGCCTTGCTGGTGGAGTTGGTTATATTCTTCAGCATGTGTTCTCTCAGGAAACTTTCTGCCATTTATTTTTAGTTATAACTTGTGGTAATAAGAGTTTTACTATCTTGATTGTGGTAGTGTTTTCATGGCTGTACATTTCAAAATTTATCAGACACCCTATTTTAAATATGTGCAGTTAATTGTAAGTCAAGCATCTTTCTGTCTATCCTTCTGGATGTGAAAATGTGTGGTCCTCAGGGCAGGGGTCTCACACTTTAGGGGCATCAGAATCTCCTGGAGGGCCTCCCTGGTGTTGCAAGGGGTTAAGCACAGCACTATGAAGCTAGCCGCAGCCTCTGCAGTACAAGTTCAATCCCTGGCCAGCCAGGGAGCAACCCACATGGTGCAGCAGAACTCTCCTGTTTCGCCTGCCCCCCTCAGTAGTGTTTTCAGTTGATCTGCCTGTTTTGCTCCCCACTGTGTCTCTGGTGAATCATCTCACCCTCCCGCACCTCTGGCCTGTACCCCAGTTCTTATATGTATAAATAAATAAATCTTTAAAAAAAAAAAAGAATCTCCTGGAGGCCCTATTGCTGCACCCCATCCTCAGCATCTGATTCAGTAGGTCTGTGCCCATAACTGGAATTTCCAGGTTTCTAGGTGATACTAAGGATCACTGACTTGAAGGTTCTTAAG